CCTAATTTTCCTGCTGCAGCCGATATTCCATGACACGTGGAACGTAATCTAGCTGGAAAAATCTCAGCTGGCACGACAAATGTGGTTGAGTTAGGTCCAAGAATGTCAATGAGTATAGGACAACGAATCCGATACGATTGTTGGGGTGTGTCCAATGGTTATAAGGAATGGCTAAAGCAAACACGAATGCTGTCATCATAGAGAAACCAAGTAATTGAATTGTAAACCTCCCAATTCTATCAATTAAAAACACTGTGAACCAATACCCTGGCACTGTACTACAAAGAGCAATAAGTGTTTGTGCTCTAGCAATTTTGAAAACTTCTTGAATTGCATTCATAGTATTGGCAGGAGGAATCCATCCAATTGCACTAAAGATATCTTTTTGGAACAAATTTTGGCTATAAAATGCAATATCAAGAAGAAACCATGTACTTGTTGTGCCAAGTAAATGAAGTCCATGTCGACGAAGAAATTCTTTAGAAAATAAACCAAAATCATTGCCTGATTTTCCTCTAGTGGTAACAGCAATTTTAGGCTCTTCTTTTTGTTCTGTTTCAATATCAACTTGCATAACTTTTTCCATATCTGCAGTTGCTTGTTTTACATTCTTGGCAACAAAAGCAGTGTAACGAGCAGTTTCGGGCATCTTTGTTCTCCAATAGTAAGTGAGAAATGCAGGAAGTGCTCCAACCATTAATATAATTCTCCAAACAGTCTGCTTGTGGAACAGTTGAACCAATTGGATCAACCTGTTAGATGTTACACATATGGACCATTAATTACTTTGATTTAATAATTATAAATTCGCTAAATTCCTATAGGTCACGGGTTCGAGCCATGAGCCAGTGATACTTGCATCAGGATAGGCTGCCTACATCATATTCCCTTGGGCTGCGGTCCTTCCTCGGACCCTGCGTGAATACGGGATGCTTTGTGCACCGGACTGCCTATTAGCTATATGGGTAGAGAAACAAGATCTCTAAACGAATCAAAGTTGAAAGTGATTTCTACTCAACACTGTTCTGCAGGCCGTTTTAGTCCAACATTTTCTTAGTTAAATCTTCTATGCTATGTACAGTTCTATGAAAATCATAAAGTTCCACGATCCTAAAGTCATATAACCATTTATGTTATGATAAAATTCAAACACAACGTACCTTGTATGGAGGAGCCTTAAACCGGGCCTCGAATATAGGAGAGACCAGGATGGCAAAAATTCCTCCACCCAGAATACCAAATCCTTGCATAGCGAAAACAGCAGCAATAAAAGCACCCCTCGTCTTTTTATTAGCATATTCAGACATAATAGTAGCTGAAAGAGGGTAATCACCACCAATACCAAATCCTAGCCAGAATCTAAAGAAGCAAAGTGTGGCTAACACTGTCTTTGGTTCTCTACCAAAAGAAAGACCAGAACCAATGGAACATAGACTCATGAGCATTAATGTTATGCCATAGACTTTTTTCCTGCCCAATTTGTCACCAAGCCATCCAAAAAAGAGTTGCCCTGCATTTGCATTTCAGAACACATCCAAGATTTAAATTTAATGGGTTCGACCTGTTCCAAATTTTATATTGATTAAAACTTTATGATATGTATAAAAAGTCAGTTGCAGAAATCTTGTGTGGAACAGAAGGATAAAAGCTCGTTTAATTCTGATTTCCGGTACGAATATAGTAAATGTAAGCGACATATTCCGGCCCTACCTGTAAGGGTTCCACAAAATGCAACTCCATTAACAGCTGCTGAAACACCAGGAGGTAAAGATCCAGGTTTTGTAGAGCCATCAACATGATAGTAAACGCGACCAAGTAATTTAGTGACTAAAGAAATGCAGAAGAGATCATAGGCATCTGTGAAAAATCCCATCCCAGCAATTATAATTGCAGTAAAATGATACCATTGTGTTTTTGCTGCATCTAGTGCCTTCAGAACCTTTAGATCCCCTGCCATTTTATACAATTCTTCTTCACTCTTCTCTTCTCCTTTGATCTAGCTGCATTTCAAATCAAGAAACATTCAATAATCAGAACAAATTGGCCAACGAAAGATCAAAGATAGTGAAAGATACAACTATAAAAATGGATCATGTATCTTAAATTTTATATGACACTCTTTCTTTTTTGAGTCTGTTCCAAAAGAATGACGGCTTTTGTACATTTGGTAGCTCTTTAATTTTTATTCCTAATTTTTAGTTTAATGACATGTTTTTATATCGTAGAAGGCAATTTAAGCATAAGGAATGTTCAAGAAAATATGCGTCCTCTCCCATGCACTAAGATCCCATAATTAATTCTCAGCTCCACGAAAAACAAGATTTCCTATCAAGGCGGCTGAGATAAATCCTAGGCCATACCATTGATACATATGGGACATGTCGTAGATCCTATTACTCAGGATTTGAAGGTCGGGAGTGCACTTTTACTTTCAGTCAAAATCTACTTTGTATACAGAATATCACTATTAATATATCAGTATTTTCTAAAATATATACATATATTCATGAAAAATTTGCCGAACTTTTTAGGTGTCCGTGACCCCTCACTTGATAACATAGTGTCTTGCTTCTTTTTTTTTTTCCTTAAACTGTTTCGAAAGAATGTCACATTTTTGTATTTAATTAAGTTATTAATTTCACATTCTCGTATTACCTTAGCTATGATGACTCTCCCTTATAGTTAAATGATATTTTTGGCATGTTATACACTTCTATAATTTAAGACCGCAAGATCCAAATTAAAAGTAGTGTTTATATTCTTACATGGTGTCCAGTCAAACTACCATGCCTAAAATGTAGTGGAGTGAGCAAGATTTCATAAGAATAACAATATACTCGATGGATCATGGCATTAAATCTATTGATATACCATTTTCTTTAATCAAAGTAAAAAAGTTGAAATATAAGTTCATTCTCAAAATAAAGACAAAAATTAAAGAACTTGAATTTCCCTTGCATGCAAAAGAACAAAGCAGAATCTTGATTTACATCTCAAGAAGGACACATGCATGCAAATAAATGCAAATATTTAGAACTAATTAATGACAAGACTGACCTGCTATTGCTAGAAAAAATGGTGGAGAAAGAGAGCAGAATCAGAGATTCAGTTTAATTTTTTCTGTGTGGGGAACGAGAGATTAATTAAGCTTAGGGAAATGATTAATTAGAGAGATTTAGAGGATTATATTATGTGAGTGGTAAAACGGTAAAGCATGGTGAATCTTTATATATGCAACAGTAACCCCCTAAACTGGGATCTTCGCCCGGATATTGCCCTACTTTTTCGGTCCCGGTCAATAAATGATCCTATTTTTACATGGTATATATTTAGAAAAAGTTTAACTTATAATTGTTTAAAAGAATTTTTATGCTATAAAATTAACTAAAATAGTAATTATAGGCTATAGCACCCTTCCTAGAAGGTGATTATAATACGAGTCCGGAACCAAAATGTGGTTCTTTTGGACTCAAAGAATCAAAATGTGTGAAAAAAAAATATAGTGACCAATATATATATAACGCCCTTTTAAAGGGCGCTATACCTTAACGGTTGTTTGCCTGTTAAGGTATATCGCCCTTTAAAAGGGCGTTATATTTGAACCTGAAATGAGTTGGAAGGTATAGCGCTCTTTATTAAGACGCTATAGTATAGCACCTTAATAAAGGGCGCTATACCCACATAAAAGGGCGTTCAGTCCCCTTCCCCAACAAACCAGTGTCGTCCCCCCCCAATTAAAGAATACAAACAACGGTCCCCCCAATTTTTAATCAAAAAAAGCTCGAGTGGAGCCCACCTATCCCACAAAAGTGTAGATTCTCGGTCCCACGTCCTAGCTAAAGCGTTATCTCGGAGTGGGTTGCTTGTTTCGGCTCCAAATCACCAAATCTTTAATTTTTCAAAAACTTAAAATCGAGGTATTCCGACTTAGTTTTTGTTAAAACGCGTATAAAAAATACACATTAGTTATTTTTAATGTGTTCTATGTTGTTTTGTGATTGTTTTGCGTTTTAACTAATTTGTTATTTTTATCCGGACTATAGTATTAGTGTACTAAAATAATTAATAAAAATAGAGAAATTATTATTAGTTGTTAAAAAAATATTAATTAGTTACTTTTTACTGTGGTATATGTATTTTCGTGAATGTTTTGTGATTAAATTCATTTGTTATTTTTATGCGGTTTAGATTATTTATTTGCTTAAAGATTAGTAAAATATATAAATTGTTACTTTAATTCCCTCTAGTGGTATCTTGTGGCCTAATGTAGTGCTTGTATTTGTAATGTAGTGCCCTTTTAGCGTAGTAAAATGTAATGCCCTTTAGCGTAGTATCCTTGTAGTTATTGAAATTAATCATTTAAGTATCTCTTATACCCAAAAATACGTCAAAAAAGTTGATAGTTCAAACACAAACTTCGTCCAATTCTAGTCAACGATCGTAAGAAAATAACATGAGAAAACAACAATATTTCCCGGACTAAGTATTGTTATATGAATATTTAATAATTAAATCTTGTATAGTTATGAAAATTAATTATTTAATTTTATTATAGTAAAAAATAAGTGAGTCATAAAAAAAATATAATAATAAAAGTAGCATATAAAATAATAAAACTAACATATAAAATAATAAAACTAACATATAAAATAATAAAACTAACATATACAATATTAAACTAACATATAAATAATAAACTAATATTTAAAATAACATACCTATTGAGTGATAAATCGGAAACTTTTTCTCATCACGAACACAAGAATTCAAGATACCTTGGTGCTACTGGGCCTCAAATATCGAGCCCTGAACCCATATGTGAATATTTAATAATTAAATCTTGTATAATTATAAAAATTAATTATTTAATTTTATTATAGTCAAAAATAGGTGAGTAACAAACAAACATGTAAAATAATAAAACTAACATGTAAAATAATAAAACTAACATATTAAAGTAAAATAATGTAATTAATATTGTTCAATTTACAGTAGCCGACATGGAGGTTCCGCTTTTGCATCCCGGATCTACCACGCTAGAGTTACTGTTGCTACAGGGCGAGCATAAATCGTCCTACATATGGGAGGGACAGTTACTGGCCCAGACATTTCGCACCAGGAGAGTAGACGATATGTGGGATTTTCTTAGGGCCCACCCTCTCCATCCTCGTATAGTCAGATGCCTATAGGATACGAGTTTTTATAGGATTGTGGAGATCGACCGGTTGCAGCTGGATTGGTCGTTGATCACGGCCCTGATAGAGCGGTGGAGACCGGAGACGCACACATTCCATTTGTCCATTGGCGAGGCCACTATCACGCTTCAGGACGTGGAGGTCCTGTATGGGCTGCCCGTTGATGGACACCCTGTTGCTTTGTCGAATGCCATCAGAGAGAATACGGGTTTGCAATACCTGGAGATGCTGCAACGGCTCACCGGTTTCCAGCCACCGGATGAGACTGCATTGATTGGGGCCAGTCATATGCAGTTGACGCCCGTCCGGCAGCATTTGGAGGCGATGCACGCTGACATCACAGATTATACACCGGAGCTTCATATTTACCGGTACACGAGGTTGCTGCTGCTGCTTATGTTTGGAGGGGTTTTGTTCCTGAACACATCAGGGAACCTAGTCAGATTGAGATCTCTTCTTCATCTTGAGCGGCTAGATGATTTATATCATTACAGTAGGGGTGCTGCTATTCTCGGTTACTTGTACAGGCAAATGTGCCGAGCGAGCATGGGCACCCAACGAGACGTTGCTGAATTTTTATCGCTACTACAGGTGAAAGCATAGTCGAATACTCTATTCATTATAACATACCTAGTAAAAATATACCTTAAATTTTACGTCCATTTTGTATAATAGGTTTGGGCGTGGGAGCAGTTTCTGCAGTTGTAGCCACCTCTACCACCCTTAGCTCCGGGTGCACCACCTCCGTTTCTCCCTTTAGCTAGGAGGTAGGTTGATAGACGAGGATATGGACGGGAGTATGAGGCTCGACATAATCTCCCCTATTACAGGGATTTGTTGGATTTGCTGGAGGGCACACAGGTAAATGTATACCTAAGTTTACCTGTCCTGGCTTCATATGTGTTGCGTATACTCACGCTTTCTGTTGTTACTTAATAGTTCATTTGGAGGCCATACAATGACGAGCTAATAGCTGGTTTGCCCGATTATTGCTCGTCCATCCGAATTATGTGGAGCTCTTCCATCCCGTTGATGTGCCTTGATATTGTCGAGCATCATGCCACCGAGCGAGTACTTTGCCAGTTTGGCCGCCCGCAGCTTGTACCGCCACCGCCCACTTGGCATATGACACATTACTAGTGGGATGATGGTTCCAGGGTAGACCAGACATATATGACATAGCTAAAGGCGCAGATCGATACTTGAGACCAGCGACATGACCTGATTCCGCCTCCCCCTCCACCTGAGCGGCCGGATGGTGAGCATGAGTATATGACCTGGTACCATAGCGTTACCCGACTTTTCGTCGGGAATCCTGCTTATCGCGCTGGTGGTCGGTACGTTCCATACGCCGGAAGGCACAAGGCACTAGTATGTTATTTGGTATACTTACTTATAATGTTAACCTAGAATTTTATAATTTATATTTTACATGTTGTGCAGGCAATTGGCCTAAATCTGTTCCACCAACTGGGACTGTAGATGCAGCAGTATACCGCGAGGGAGCAACCGCTTTGCATGAGTATGGCCGACAGGTTAACGATTTGGCTTCCCAGACATTGAGGCGATCCCGAGTTGATGAGCACTTAGGATACCAGGCTGATTATGTGGTGCCAGAGCAGTACCATCGTGGGCTAGCAGTGGAACCGGAACGTGGTCGACGTGGTAGGCGTGCCCCATGAGGTAGGGATGTCCCATGTGGTAGGGGTGTCCCACGAGGTCGTGGGGGTCGGCGAGGAGGTGGTCCCCAACAAGGGGGCGTTGAGGCACCTGTTGAGGATGTTGGAGTTGATCAGCGGGGTGACCTCCATGAGCTAGACCATGCTCATAGTGATATGCCGTCATTCAGCCTTCAGCTTACTCCGGGGACTTCACAGGTGACCCCGTCAGCTCCATTGTTGATTGCGGGCACGGCCATTACGCGAGAGGATTGGGATCAGTATTTTCCTGATCCTCCAGATCCATCGACCGTTGCTGATGATCGTCCGATACGAGATGTGGATAGTGGGCGCCGGCTGAGTTATGACTCATCATCGAGGGATTCTGAGGATCTTTCACAGGCACAGGTTTGTTTGTATTACTATTATTTATATTTGTTTTTATCTCATTGATTAGCCATAAATATCTTTATATTTTTTTAAGGCTTCATCCTCGCCCGTCACGGAGGCCACTTTGTGCGATACTGACCTGGCTGTGACGGATGATTATATTCAGGAGCCCGACGAGACCATGGTAAGACAATTTAAAATTTTGTGACTTAACACGTACATTACTAATATATAAATATATCATTTACTAAAATATCTTATTATTCTGTAGGTTGCTGCTGGGCCGACGACCTCTTCTACCGAGCCTTCCGGCCCTACTGACGATCATGCTGCAGCGCATCCTCCGATAAAGAGGCGATGTGATTAGGATGATCCTGATAGTGTAGCCGGGCGGGATGGAATGCGCCTCAGGCCAACAGCTGCATTAAAGCATACAAGATGTGGGACACATTGATTTTTTTGTATTTTATGTACATATGACATTTAGTAAATAATAACAACAGTTTTTATTGTTTACATTATATACGCATTATATTTTTATTTCTCCGGTTCTTCATTATTTTAATACTATAACACAAACACAAACATAGCAACTTAACATAATTTAAATTTAGTACAACTAATGAAAATACATGACACGGAAAACATAAAGATAAAATACTACACTCAACACATACATGTATTTGTTTCGTCACTACCGCCTATTATTATCTACTCCAACCACTTAAATTTCTCTTCCAGCCTATTTTTTTTTTCTTTTTTTGCCTCTTTTAGTTTCTCCTGCACTGCCGCAATTTCTAGTTGCATTTTATAGATCTGGCATTGGTATTCATCATTCATATTCCAAACATACTGCAAACATGATTTGTAATATTTCTGGTTAATGGGTTCATCATACCATTCCTCAAACATACATTGATTTCCGTCATTGCGTCCAAACAATTATTGACATATCCAGTATCTGAGCCCAACATTAACATCTGACCAACATGCCTTCAAAATCGCACGTTTGCCACAATAGCACCTTGGTTGGTCATTGCGTCCTGACATTTGTTAATGCAAGAAAAATGAAAACATTATGGAAAGTTTTGCTATTTGTTTTGGTTAAGCGCAGATAATAACTAAAATGCGCTAGTTATTTACAGGCAAGATGCCACGACCAAGAATTCCCACCAACGGGACCGTGATGGCGCCTAATATTTTACTTACTAGGCAAGCCAACGTTAGAGGATCATTAAACCAATTCCTTATTTCCATTTAGTAAATAACAATAATTAACTAAGATGAAATATAATAAGTGCGAAATATTATAAAACTGTATTAATTACTACCACCCGGATCTGGAGTCACAATTCACGAGCATTCTAGAATTTACTACAAGTAATAGTCTGAAAAAAATACAACTGTCTGAATGAAAGAAACAGTAGAACAAAAAAGATAGACGGGGACTTCAAGGTCTGTGAACGCCGACAGATCTACCTTGAGTCTCCGGACAGCAGACCAATAGCAAAATCTCAATCAACCCGAGCCGGTATCAAAATCTGCACAGAAAGTGCAGAGTGCAGTATCAGTACAACTGGCCCCCTGTACTAGTAAGTGTCGAGCCTAACCTCGGCGAAGTAGTGACGATGTTAGGACAAGACACCCACATATAACCTGAACAATATAATCATGCTAATAAAAATAACAGTAAATAAAGAAATAAATTAGAAAATAATGGGAAGGGGACATACAGTGGGAGATTTCAATATAAGGAGTGAGAATAACGAAAAGACAGAATTAAATAGTAATCCGTAAAAAAATTAAGAAATTAAAACACTAAGGAAAACTACACGACATCACCCTTCGTGCTTTTACTCTCAACCTCACCAAATAATAAATAAAACTGCACGGCATCACCCTTCGTGCTTTTACTCTCATATTATGCAGGGCATCAACCTTCATGATTTATCACTCATAAATCATAGCACAACATCACCCTTCGTGCATTAACACTCACATATCATGGCACGGCATCACCCTTCGTGCTTTACACTCTTCCTCACAATATAAATAATGCATGCACGGCATCACCCTTCGTGCTTTACACTCCTTCTCACAAATCACAGAATCAATAACAACGGATAAACAAAAGTTTCACAAAGAAGCCACTATTTTACCAATGTGTAATATCATATTGTAAACCTCAACCTTGAACTAATATTCAAAAATTACCAAATCTCGATGAAACCATACATAAGTCACCCAACATTTCAGATAACAACGCTAAGCATGGATAGTAGGGTTAAAGGCTACAAAATTTACAAAGAATAGGATTTCACTCGCATGCGATGACTCGACAACAATGCATAGATACTCGTTACCTCACCTATACATCGTATTTAACAACCAAACACGTAGCAAATAAACACATATTACCCATTCCCTCAAGCCAGAGTTAGACAAGACACTTACCTAGATTCGTAGGCCACTTACTGCTCAAGTACTGCTTTCCCTTTAGAATTCACATCCAACCCACTCGTATCTAGTCATAAATAGTTTAATACTATCAATTATCGCTAAAGGAATCAACTTTAATGAATAATTATAGATTTCCCAAATTTTCCTAAAACAAAGTCAAAAGCCGACCCCGGGCCCGCTTGGTCCAAACTCGAGGTTCAGACCAAAATCCGTTTACCCATTCACTCCCGAGACCGAGTATATAATTAGTTCCGGAATCTGACCTCAAATCGAGGTCTAAATCCCCAAATTTGTAAAATTCCCAATTTTCCCAAATTCCCTAATTTCTACCCTTAAAGAACAAGATAAAGACTAGAAATTCAATAAATGATGATGGAAATTGAAGAAAACAAGTTAGAAAGTGCAAACCTATGATTGGGTGTCGAAATCTTTCTTCAGAAATCGCCCCAGGTTGAGTTCTATGGAAGAAAATATGAAATTTTGAACAAATCCCGTTTTGAAGTCTGTTTTAAAACATTGGACATGCTGTCATCACGTTCGTGAGAGGCCTGTAGTTATCGCGATGCACAACGACCTAAGGCCTTCGCGAGTTTTTCTACGCGTTCGCGAAAGGCAGCTCCCCCAAGCCTTCGTGTTCGCGACCCAGTGGACGCGTTCGCGTAGAAGAACATGACCCCCTCCCCCAGGTCCCTTAACCTATCACGTTCGCGGGAGACTGATCGCGTTCGCGAAGGGTACCACCCCTAATGCTTCGCGTTTGTGACCGGTCCTTTACGTTCGTGAAGAAGAAATTACCTCCCAGCCTTGTTTACACTTCGTGATGGAGAGTTGCTTCGCGATCGCGAAGTACAAAATACCTGTGTACCAGCAACAACAAAACAACAGAAATTCTAAGTCCGAAATATCCCGTAGCCAATTCGAAACTCACTCGAGCCCTCGTAGCTCCAAACCAAACATGCACACAAGTCTAAAAATATCATACGAACTTGCTCGCTCGATCATATTGCCAAAATAACACATAGAACTACGTATTTAGCACCAAATCAAATGAAATTCTCAAGAACACTTTTAAAATTCCTATCTTTTCAACTGGACGTCCGAATCACGTTAAATCAATTCCGTTTCTCACCTAATTTCACAAAAAAGTCTTAAATATCATAACGAACATGTACCATGCTCCGGAACCAAAATACGGATCCGGTACTAACAATGCCAAACATCAATCAATTCTTAAAAATAAATAATTTCCATACTTTAAATTTTCATCAGAAATTCATAACTCAAGCTAGGGACCTCCGAATTCGATTCTGGGCATACGCCCAGGTCCCATAATTCTATACGGACACACCGGGACCGTCAAAATACGGATCTAGGCCCGTTTGCCAAAAATATTGACCGAAGTCAAATAAAATCAACTTTTTGAGGTATAAATTATTGTTTTCATCAATTTTTAACATAAAGCTTTTCCGAAAACATGCCCGGACTGCGCACATAAATCAAGGAGGATAATTAAAAGATTTTTAAGGCTAACGAGCATGGAATAAAGTCCTAGAACACAAGATGACCCTTGGGTCATCACAATCTCCACCTCTATAACAAACGTTCGTCGTCGAATGAACATAGAAAAGTACTTGAACTGGCAAACAAGTGGGGATATCTACTCCACATGTCCGACTCAGACTCCCAAGTAGCTGCCTCAAAGGGCTGACCTCTCCACTGCACTCGAACTGAAGGATAACTCTCTGACCTCAGTTGTCGAACCTGCCGGTCTAGAATGGCTACCGGCTCCTCCTCATAAGTCAAATCTTTGTCCAACTGGACAGAGCTGAAATCTAACACCTGGGACGGGTCACCATGATACTTCCAGAGCATGGACACATGAAATACTGGATGGACTGATGATAACACTGGAGGAAACGCAAGTCTATGAGCCACCTCCCCCACTCTCTCGAGAATCTCAAATGGCCCAATATACCTAGGGCTCAACTTTCCCTTCTTCCCAAACCTCATGATACCCTTCATGGGTGATACCCGAAGTAATACTCTCTCCCCGACCATGAATACCACATCACAAACTCTGCGATCGGCATAACTCTTTTGCCTGGACTGAGCTGTACGAAGTCGATCTTGTATAATCTTGACCTTGTCCAAGGCCTCCTGTACTAAATCTGTAC